GGGTGAAGGGGTGTGATTTTTGTGAAACGACTAAGAGTGTCTTGTAGAAAATTTCTGACCGTGAAAATTCTTTCAAATCTTCGCTAACTCTTACCACGTTCTAGCTATAGCCGTTTAAAAAAAACTGTGTTTTTCTTTTTCAGATGTCTACCATTTTGGATTTTTTGTTGGGGGGGGGGGGTTAACATTTGAAAATGGGACTTTTAGATATTTTTCGTGAAACTTGAGAATTTCCTCTTTCCAACAGTATAATGTTCGATCAAATCGGATTCATAGATGAGTAGTTATGATTTTTCAAAATCGGATGATTCTTTTTGAAACACCCTGTATTTTAGTGCTAATTTAGTACATTTCCATGTAGTCCAGGCAAATTAGATCAAATATAGGGTGTGCTCCCCAAAAAACCGTCTAAAGCTGGAAAGTGTTTTAATACCTTTTGGGGGTCCCAAATAAGACTCCTATGAGTTTGCGACGGATTCTGACGTCTGCTTAAGTTTTGGGAGTCGAAAAACTATGAAAATTTTGCACTTTTTTCAGTTTTTCGCTTATAACTCCTAAATAACGAATCCTAAGGAAAATAATGTACGTAAGTGTCTTTTAGTGCATTAAATTCCGCGTCGATTGATGTTAAATACGTCAAAATCGGCCGAGCCGTTTAGCCTCTGTAGCTTTTCAAAGGTCTGATATTTTCATCAACATGGCCAAAAGGTTGATTATTTGACCAGTTTTCGGCTTAAAACTCCTAAACAACGCATGATATACAAAAATGCACCTGTAGTTAGTTTGGAAAACACGAAATTCTGCGTATAATGTTTTTTTTTTATTAATCAATAACGGCAATTGATTGTTACTTACTTTCTATGGACGCCATTTCATTAAAAAAAGCATTAAAGTTAAAGTTGGGAAATTTTAATAAAATTGGTAACAACATAGATCCCGTCCTTAAATGGATTATGAATTATTAGATAGTAGTTTATTCCATGATGGTAATCTAGAGGTTTATCTAACAAGGTGTGATGAGAGTAAGACCCCCTATGTAATTTTAAGTCTAATATTGTTGTCTGAGGTTCCGAAAATTCTAGGATTCATCCCAACCACCCATTATATAGATCTATCCCTGTATTCATCTTTCAGTTTTTGGCTTACGTCTTCTAACGCATGCTATAGAAAAAATGTTCCTGTAGTTAGTTTGAAGAGCATAAACGTCTGCGTAGAATGTTTTCCAATTCATTAAGATCGGCTTTACCATTTAACCACTATTGATTGTTAACACTATATCAGATGCTTGTCAAGTTTAAAATCTTACCATTGAAATCTGGAAAACAACCAGCCTAATTACCAAAAACATAGGGGATATGGCAGTGAATCTACCCACTAGTGTGACGTCATGGATCGTGCAGCATGGCCTATGAACAAGCAAGTGCTCATGAGAGCAACATCTTACTGTGGAGAGCTTTTTCCGAGATAGGGGAATCAATGATGTGGACCTAGCCCGATGGTTCGCTGGCAGGCCCATCGCAGTGAATGCTACCCATCAAGTTAAAGTATATTGTGGGATCACCTCCTCAACATATTATCAGCAAGTTGACAATATAAACTCCACGGATACGGTGGGATCAAAAAGAAATTCATCAAATGGTTCCAGTGTCACGACCCATTTACTGAAAATAGTTCGCTCATGTCAATCAGCTCAGCAGTTATCCCATATGATAGCATCAACGCGATATATGTATAAAGCATAATGGAAAGGCACAGCTTGCAAGAAAATCGTAAATAGGCAAGCCTATAATGACCATAAACTGTGCAGATTAAAAGGAAGTGGTGACATTAATCGCGAGCTGTGATGGCAACAGCAAAGGTTAAAGAAGAATGCCCCCTCAGTCAACACGTGATACTCCACATTAAATCCAAGCCTCAATTTGAATCATACTTTGGATTAAAAATAGGTCCGTACCCACTAGCGCAGTTTGATGAAGAAAGCGTGATGTAGAAGAGTCGAAAATCTAACTATTCATGTAGCCTAAAACTACTCATTCTGTTTACTCCAATCAATATGGATCTCACTGTGTCAGAACACGGGTTACAACGCTTGGCGAAGTTGCAGAAGCAGGTTGGCCCTATACATGGTTGGGAGCAGAAAATATCCAAATCAAGTGAGGGTTAGTCTCTTCTAGAGGACACTTTCAACTAATTTTGACTTTGATTCTAACAAAGGGGACTGATCATCCACCAATCTTTTAGAGCTCATTTAAAATTGTACTTAATTCAGAGAGATAGGTATGGAAAATTAACGTCAATGGGTTAACTCCCATCACTACGGCTAATCCACCGGTTCGATAAGAACTTCTCAACTCCGTCTACCTATCTCATGTACATGTTAAAAAGGTTTACATTTTCTCGCTCCATATTAAATGCAGGGATATAATGCACTACTGTCTGAAAGACTTGCAAGGGGCACGATAATCTCAATTCGATATCTGACGAAAAAGATGGTACCGAATGTCACCATTTGTGGCAAGACCAATAAGAGCAAATATTGAATCCTTATTCTTAAGATTCCAATGACGAGAAGTAGAAAAGTTATATGGTAAAGTCTACGAAAAATCCCAGTCGTTTTTTATAGACTAAATACATAGTAAAACTATGTACATCCGTCCATTATCATCTTTCGTTTATTAAGCTAAAAAACAACATTTTTGCTATATTTATAAAATCTTTCTCGTTGTAATATCTAATTATATATTAGAATCGCTTAACATCATTCCGGAGTGTCCAGAGATGGGATCGTATAAAAGGGAGCTTAGGACGAATCCTAGAATATTTTTAACCCCCTCAACAATATTAGATTTAAAATTGCATAGGGGGTCTTGCTACCCTTCCCTTCACACATTCTTGGATAAACCTCTGGATGATAACCATGAAATAAACCACTATCTAGCCATTCATAATCATAATTCTACGCAAAATTTTGTGTTTTCCAAACTAACTACAGGCGCATTTTTGTATAGCATGCGTCGTTTAGGATTGGTCAAATAATCAACCTTTTGGCCATGTTGATGAAAATATCCCAACTTTGAAAAGCTACAGCGGCTAAACGGCCCGGCCGATTTTGACGTATTTAACATCAATCGACGCGGAATTTAATGCACTAAAAGACACCTATGAACATTATTTTCCTTAGGATTCGTTATTTAGGAGTTATAAGCGAAAAACCGAAAAAAGTGCAAAATTGTCATAGTTTTTCGACTCCCAAAACTTAAGCAGACGTCAGAATCCGTCGCAAACTCATAGGAGTCTTATTTGGGACCCCCAAAAGGTATTAAAACACTTTCCAGCTTTAGACGATTTTTTGGGGAGCATATGTCTAATTTGCCTGGGCTAATGATAGTAGATGCCCTATTTGGTCTCCAGCAAGTAGATTGTAAGGACCCTGGCAAGAAAAATTAAGCAGACCACACAACAAATTACAAGACGACGATTCTAAAATGAAAAAGTTCTAATTCATTTTTATTTGTAAAATCAAAACTGTAAAGTCGAATTCTAATAATATGTATTATAAAATTGAATTCATTAGAAACTATTTCTTTTTCATTGAATCGGAAGCGAAATGCATGCAGTGATGGAGAAATTATATTTCTACTGCATGAGCTAAATCAGTTGTCAGTTGCGAAGTTTGGACTTAATAAGAAGAATTAAAAATTCAGAAACTCAAAATTGTTTAGGGTAATTCTGTCTCTGCTTACGTTAATCTAGGACTTTTTCCAACGTCGAACGTCACAACAATGTTTTCTTGGTCCTGGTCTAATTGTTAGTTTAGGATAAAAAGAGTTGCTACATCCTGACCCCGATAACCAGTAAAAATCTTTTACCTATTTAACAAGGTTATAAATAACACAATAATAAATTTAAATTGTACAATTTTTGAATGCAGCTTACTGTCTTCTTGTCTTCTATCTAGAACGTAGATAATGAACTGGCAAAGTGGCGTGCATTAACATTTAAATTTAATGATGAGTGGATAACAATATGTAGCGGGATGGAAAACTAAGCTGTTTTTTTTTTTTTAGAAATTGTGGCCCTTTGGGCTCCTACCCGATGATACTCGTTTGTAAAAAAGTTTATAGAATATTCGTAATTTGAAAATTTCAAGGTCAATAAATTTTATACTATGTATGAATAATTTGTACACTAGGTAGGGCCTATTAATAATAAAATATAAGAACACATTCAACATGCTATTTGTGTTGCAGTTTATTACTTCATAAATGTGTATAGGGGCCTATAGTTTCAAATTACGTAGGCCTATTACCCCACGCTTAGTATTCCTAAAATCCTTTCAAAACATCGTGTTTGCTAATTTTCACTCAAATATTATTAGTACCTATCTCAGGTAGGATACTTGTTCGTGGGTGTATTAGAAATTTAAATTGCTAGGTATACTAAAGTGCTATATAATATAGTATTATTAATTTATTAAGTGTTTGTAAAGCAATATTCGCGGTATAAACAATGTATTGCGACCAAAACAAGTTATTGTTCACCACAAACTGTATATAACACGTATATTTAGTAACAACTCTAACCATTAACACTTTTTTCCAGTCTATTTAGAAGTCATCGTTGATAGTCTACCTTTCAAATCTCTTAAACATTTTTAATTTATCACTTTAACTGATTACAGAAAAAACACCGTCAAAAATACCATCTGTCACCATCTTTGTAAATGAATATTAAATTCAAGTCGTTAATATTTTTAAAGCAGATTAGCCTAATTGTTTTAAAATAAATTCGAATTGAAAAAATGCGAGTAAAAATTTTAAATGAGATCGGTCACGACTAAATCTTCCTTCGATATTCAATAATGGTATCAAATCAACAATGAAAGTTGTATAACTTTCCAGTCTACAATTTTGTTTACAAAAGTAGAACAACTACTTCAACAATGACAAGAAAACATGTGTTTGTAGATTCCTTAGCGATAAGTACAGAAAATAACTTACGGTCAAAATATTTTGATATCCAAACAGCCGGTCCTTCAAAACACAAACACACAAAACGTATCAGCTGTAAATTCTATTGTTGACTTACGAAAGTTGACTAGCAACAGCAACTGATTCGGCCCGCTAACCTAACCTATTGTGCGCGGCGCGATACGATAGAACTCACTCGATACTATCGGTACTATAACAATCGATTTGTGCCTATCGACAAGCTATTGGGGTTTGACGTTTTCAAATGGTCGGAAATGTAGAATGAAGTAGTATTGATGTTATTTTAGTTTCGATGATTTATAATTTTCTGTATTAATGACTTTGAAGTTTGTTAAAACAATTTTTATCAGTGTAATGAAAACATTTTTTTTTATCTAGTTTTAGTACAAAATTGTATATATATAGTGGAGATCTGGTTGGTATGAATCAATAAGTAAATTGATAAGTTATATGATTTTTTTCTTCATATTTCCATTAGTATTTTTTAATGTCATATACATATACATATAAAAACACATGTTTGTTCTATTATGAAACATATATGTATATAAATTAGTCAAATATTTATTAAAAATAAAATAACTCGTATGATATTAGTTTGTTTGCTTAGTTAGCTATTTTTTCAATAAGTAACACACATAAAAACATTATAAACCATGGTGGTCTTATTTAATCATTAACGAATTCTGTGCATATTCCTCTAGATTCGTAACGATGGACGATAGAACATGAAACAGTACGAATTTTCTATTAATATACATGCATATGAGGACAAAATCAACACATGAAATGAACAAAATAATTATGAATGTAAACAATTTACAATTAACGGAATTTTTAAAAAGAACATGCGATTGAAAACAGATCATTGAGAAAATTAAAAACATACCAAAATATAAATAAAAATTTTGCTAAGTTGAATCAGTTTAAAAAAATATATTATTGTATATTCAACTTTTTTTAATATGGGAAAGTGGTCTTATGTTTGTTTTCACATATGTCAGTTTTTGTGATTTTTTAGATTCCTCGAAACGATGTAACCCTTTTTTTACTTAACGTGATGGAAAATGTCAAAAATAATCTCTTAAATAACACAAACCAACTCCGACTATCTTTTGAACACTAAGCAACTAATAAATTTTGAACAAAGAGTGCCTGTGGCAATCAAATGGAACATGGAACTACATTAGGCTATTTCATTAAAAATGCCTTATCAAAATACACACTAAATGTGTTTTATTTGCATATTACACATCTGAAATCAATAGTAAATTAATTATTTAATAAATTCATATTTAAAGCATTAAAAATAATAAACGTGATAGTAATCAACTAGAAAATAAAGTTAATATATTTCATACTTTTCACAACAATAAAATAAATTATTTCTCGACTACCTAGTATTTTTTGACACTACCGAGCACTGCCTTACCTCATTCGATGTTAAGAGACCAAGTATTCGATTAATCGTATCGACTAACCGATTCTAACCTCAACAGTCGCGCGTGGCATTGTTAGTTCCGCTCTCCGCCGCTACAATCGCCTAGCGCCACCAGTCAGGGACGTACCTTCACCGTTCACCGTCCAAGATCCCAAGGTTATTTGCTGGACAACTTGCTTTATGAACCGGATGCAAAAATTGGAGCTGTGAATTTAAATCAACTCACTTCCTACTAATAGCCCACCGCATTTGAACCTTGACGTATAGACTCATTGTAGAAATGTGCATTATTAAATCCCTGCCAGCGCCCAGCACTGTGCTTAAATGTAACTTTAAAAAACAACGAGGTGTTAGCCCGTCCTACGTACGGGAATTCAGTAGTCAGTTAAAACCGTGTACAATTCAGATCAGCTAGTTTACACATATAAAGATAAAGTTTCTTGCAGTTTTAATGTGAAAAATCATCTTGTAAACAAATGTTGTGTGACCAAATATGTTTTTATTCCATCATAGGCCTATACGATATGCATTTTAAATCCGATAATTTTACAATAAAACAGCAATTCTGCAATTTTTACGATGTGAAAAGCGTTGAAGTGAGATTTGCAGCCGATTCGCACAGACGCACACTGATTATAAGTAGCCTACAGTAGAGAGAGTAATAGGGTAATAGTCAATTGAGAAGTGTATAGACTTAGTCAACGATACCACCTTCCATAGCATACCTGCCTCTTCCATAGTTATTATCACCACAATACAACTACTATACACAATTTCCAGTAGGTCTGAATAAAAACGACCTAAAATAAAACGATAATTTTCACAATAATAAAATTCACAGTACACATAATTTAACTTTGGTGAAAACTAATCAAAACCAAAAACTCAATCAAAACTAATCGTCACACCTATCCTTTATATCAATTTCACTGCATTAATTGCTAAATAAATAAGCGTAAACAAAGAAAAGTAAACACAATAACAGTTTGTTTTGAAACAGCTGTTTGGTTCAAATAACATTCATTTGAAAAAAAAAGAACTCACGATTACTAAAAGAACTGGCCACACGTAGCAGGAATATAAAAAGTAAACACGCTAGTAAAGCTAATGACGTAATTGTCAATGTTTATTATCCATACCGTTATCAGTTCTATCCTTAATAATAACCCACCCTCATTGAATAAGTGTACATCGTAATTTCCCATATTAGTTAATTTAAACTACAATATATTCATAGTTGAAATAAAAGTGATATTTTCACGTTTGGGGGCGCTGATAGGAACCCCCCAAACGTAACCACACTGAACACGATTTCATAAAAGGATGGTTTGTCTAATTGCAGTATCCTAGGTCAATGTTGACGTTGTGTTCAATCTTTGTATAAAACTCGGCTGAGGTTGTGGTGGTAATTTAAAATCGTGATTCCTGATTATTCTTGATCTTCTTTTTATGACATCAACATTTTCGGGCCTAATCCAAACAAAGTTAAAGCAGACAAACATTAATTGTAAACAAAAAGCTACCATGAAGAATTAAAACATATAAACATTGTTATTTTTCTATTCTTTCCTCGAAAAGTGGAATAGTAAAATAATTTGCATTTATCCTTTTTTATTAAGACTCGTGTACAGAGCCTCGATTTGTACTGTGGTTTAATTAATTTTGGTCCAAACTATTTTAAACTGTGGTCTAATTATCTCTACTAATCTTACTTATTTCCTATAATAAATGACAAAATAAGAGTAAATAAAATAACCTCATAGTTCCATAGTTTATATTTAACCAGCTGTTAGTTAAAACAAATTATATTGCTGTAAAACAAATCGAAGATTACAAAGATTGCTTTAAAAAATAATTTGGACATCCTAGTATTTTACTATGTATATTTAATTAATCTGTCACAGAAGAATTGAACGTATCAATGATTAGCATTACACATAGTCAACCCACATCAACCCTAAGTATGTCTTTACATTTTTATCCAAATGCTGAATTTGTGACACAAAAGCTGAATGTTTACAGCTGTTATGTTAAACAAATTATTTTATGCCAAAAGCTAGTTTAAAATCTTAGCGTCGGCTGCTAGACTTTTTAAAAATTAAAACTCAATTTCTAAAAAACTGGAACCCTAAACTAAAATTATGGCTTCGACATTCCCTAGTTCTCAAAATTATCTTTCTTTCAACACAAAAATCATGAAAATCCGTCGAGTGGTTGATTCAGAATCGTAAAATAAAAAAACACACTTTCGTTTTAATATTATAGACGCTGAATTTGTGACACAAAAGCTGAATGTTTACAGCTGTTATGTTAAGCAAATTATTTTATGTCAAAAGCTAGTTTAGAATCAAAGCGTCGGCTGCTAGACTTTTTAAAAATTAAAACTTAATTTCTAAAAAACTGGGACCCTAAACTAAATTTATGGCTTCGACATTCCCTAGTTCTCAAAATTATCTTTCTTTCAACACAAAAATCATGAAAATCCGTCGAGTGGTTGATTCAGAATCGTGAAATAAAAAAACACTGTTTCGTTTTAATATTATAGATAATGTTCAGTAGTTAGAAGTATATTATATCATCGTAAGCAAAAAAAAAAAAGTTACCTATCTAATAAAAGTCCTAGTTCTTCAACATTTAGATAATGATAAGTTCTAAACATACTTTTATGTATTCTATTTTAACATTTAGGCATAATTATCGGTACTTTTAATTGTTGTAAGCCCCTTTACATCATACTACACAGAAACAGATACTTCTCAATACCTATTGATGAGCTGGAAAGTTGTCCTTTGCCCATATATAATTTATGTTATGTCCTAAATAAATGGTGTTATGAGTTTTAAATGTACTAATTTTCTGCGTAATAGCACAGGCAATTGAATAAACCATAAAGTATTATATTGCCTGTGGTAATAGGCCTGGCATATGATGTAAAGAATCGTACGTTACTCGCCCGGTAAGCTTTACCGTACTCGCACGGTAAAGCACCACTTAACGGGCTAGTAACGTAATATACTATCAAATAAAAATTACAAAACGCAAATCTTGGGGACTGTAATACCAATTTTGTTCTATACTTACAAATAATTGATGCGTTTACTTTTATTAGAGCCATCCTTATGTTCAGTGTTAGGTTAAAGAAAAACAAATGTACATAATCTTGTTTAATGGTGTAGGATACAATCATCTTTGGTAACTTAAAACATCATAATGGTAACAACAAAATTATGGAAAATCAATAATCCCATACCATTATCCAGTGTATGTCTTAGCTGCTTCAAAATTAAGTAATGGCCTGAACTTGAGAGATTTTAAAAACTAAATTCGAAAGAGTATCTACCATAGAAAATTACATACTTACACTATGTGTACAGTGCCACAGAGTACTAAAAAGTAATATTTTTTTTTTCTTAATCATGTGTGTACAATTTTATATTTTCTTTCTTGAGCCACAAAAACTAAGTTAGTAGGCCTAAACATACTGTATTGTTAGCCTTTCTAAAATTTACTTCCATTATAATACCAAAAGAATTTAATAATTATCTTATCAAATGTAGTGTTTAGAATTGTTTTTTAAACTTCATCAATCCACAGCAATTCTACTCTATAACTCGGATTTTACAACTATACATATTGTCACTGTCCTGCATAGTAATAATTCAATTTGAAATCATAAGAAACAAAAC